TAATAAAGAAGGTACCAGGGGCTTACATGGGGCCCCCTACTGACCCCGGGGCCCTCAGGCAGTGCTGAGTGCTCCATGGTCAGTCTGCCCCCGCCACTCATCACATAAATCAATTAATTACTAACATTTTTTTTGTTTTGTAGTAAATATCACAGATTTTGCAGAACATGAGGTTTTGAAAAGTGATTTAGTTTTAGGGTTGAGCTGATACTTAGGAGGTTTCAGAAAAAGTATTTTATTACATTTTGTTTACTATATTTAGGGTCAACTTTTATCGAAGAATGGTACTTGGCATTTTTAGACACCATATGCTAGAATTCCTTATGTACGTTGGGGGGGGGGAAATCGAAAAAAAGTTTGGGAACCCACCCCCCCCAGCTAAAAATTTTGTAATTAATGTGCAGTTATAAGGAAAGCCAGAGGAAGCCAAAAAAAAAAGAGTGGAAATCTCCAAAAGGCATCTCAATTTATCAGATTAGACATTCTTATATACTGTCCAAAAACCCCCCCAAAAGTTTTAGATTTTATTTCCATCATTTCACTTTCAAAATAAACAGAAAAAAAAAAAACAAAAAAAAATGGGTTTGTCTGCATAAAGTTTGTTGGGCAACCTGCTGAAATTATAGATGCACTGCCCCCCTTTGCCAATCAGCTGAGACCTGCCAGTGTCATGGATTGTTCTCAATCATCGTCTGGGAAAAAGACCAGGTGATGTCAATCTCAAAGGTTTTAAAAGCCCAGACTCATCTGACCTTGCCCCCCCCCCAACAATCAGCACCATGGGTTCTTCTAAGCAGTTGTCTAGAAACTGAAACTGAAAATAGTTGACGCTACAAAGCTGGAGAAGGCTATAAGAAGATAGCAAAGCGATTTCAGATGACAATATCCTCTGTTCGGATGTAATTAAGAAATGGCAGTCATCAGGAACAGTGGAAGTTAAAAGCAAGATCTGGAAGACCAAGAAAAAAATATCAGACAGAACAGCTCGCAGGATTGTGAAGAAAAACAATTCAAAACCCACGTTTTTGACTGCACGATCCCTCCAGAAAGATCTGGCAGACACTGGAGTTGTGTACACTATTCCCTATAAAGAGATACTTGTACAAATATGGTCTTCATGGAAGAGTCATCAGAATAAAACCTCATTCTACGTCCTCTACCACAAAAATCATGTTTTGAACTTTGCAAATGAACATATAGACAAGCCTGATGCATTTTGGAACACAAGTTCTGTGGACCGATGAGGTTAAAATTGAACTTTTTGGCCGGAATGAGCAAAGGTACGTTTTGGTAGAAGAAGGGGCACAGAATTTAATGAAAAGAACCTCTGTCCAACTGTTAAGCATGGGGTTTGGATCAATCATGCTTTGGGGTTGTGTTGCAGCCAGTGGTGCACAGGGAACATCTCACGAGTAGAAGGAAAAATGGATTCAATAAAATTTAGCAAATTTTGGATGGTAATTACTTGATGCCATCTGTGAAAAAAGCTGAAGTTTAAAGATGAGGATGGCTTCTACAAATGGGATAAAGATCCCTAAACACACCTCGAAATCTATGGGGATTACATCAAGAGGCATAAACTGAAGGTTTTGCCATGGCCCTTCACAATCTCTCTGACCTCAACATAATTGAAAATCTATGGATAGACCTTAAAAGAGGCAGTGTGTGACAGACAGCCAGAAAATCTCAAAGAACTGGGAAAGACTTTTGTAAGGAAGAATGTGGCAAAACAAGATACCTCAAAAACAAGAATTGCAAGAATCTTGGCTGGCTACAAAAAGCGTTTACAAGCAGTGGATACTTGCCATAAATGGGACAGAACAAGCATATTAACTTTGCAGGGGTGCAATACTTTTGCTAGACGGCCTTTTTTTTCGTTTTTCTGTTATTTTTGAAAGTGTAAATGATGGAAATAATATTCAACTTTTGTTTTTGTGACATATTATAAGAATGTTCTCTAAATCTGTAAATTTGATGCCTTTTGGAGATTTTTTCCTATCTTATCCATGGCTTCTTTATGCACAATTAATAACAAATTTTTAGCTGGGGATTTCCAAACTTTCTGATCACCCATACTGTACAACAAAAACATTAGGAATACGTGGGAATATTTAATAGCAAGGAAATATTCTACGAGATTGGACATACTGCCGTATGCACTTGAGCTGAATGAGAAAGCGACCCACTGAGCTTCTCACAAATTTTTGTAGAAGCTCCTGCATTGACCTCCTGGTGCTTCGATTGCTTATACGACCTGTGGCCCATGGAGGTGATTGGAAGCACTCTGGATAACCAATGATTGGCCAGGGGTTTGTAACCACATGACTTTATGGCAAAACAGTGTATATAATTTTGGATCACTGTCACATGCAGTCCTGGTGTGCTACAGGCTGCCCACATGATCTAAAGAGGTACAGCAACTCAGCATGCAGGTACCTTATGCTCTAGGGCCAATTTAGACATGTGACCCGAATTAGGCATCGTCAAGTACCAGCATTGAATCTTTATTAGAATTTCCTGTGGTGAAGAAAACTACGTGGAGTACCTAGGAACAATGCCTTGTTCATTCAAGTGAAACTCGCTGAAGAATGTTTTCACTGCACACTCTAGCAAGATAAGGGGCCATGATTGTGAGTTCCATAGGGCACATCCCATATGTGCACCATATGTATGGAACGTGCTTTACACACATTAGCCACTACAGTGCTGGGCCCGAATTCAGTCCCATTTGTTCTTTAATTGATATTACTGACTGGAGAGGGCAATTAAATGGGTCTCCGGATACTCCAGAAACCGTATCAGTAATGACATTAGGATTAACAAATGTCTCTCACCAATCTCCAAAACACTACGTTATTCTTGGAGGTAGCAGTAATTTCATCCCACTGACTAATGACATTTGGGAATTACCCCCCACCCTCCACAGAAATACCAGTGTTGTGTCCTTTTTCCTCTCACAGACAAGATAGTAAAGGGTACTAGGTTTCTATATTCCTGAGCCTTGCAATTGCTGTAAACTGTGTTGTACGGAGTATGTCACATACTACTAACTACTGTAAAATACAGTGCATGCCTATGTTGTAAATTCCCTTACCCCTGACCACCACAGAAGTATACTTATTTGCAAGTTTACCTACTCACTGACCAATGCATTGTATTCAGCCAGTAGCCACTTATACCATCTTAGTGGACCAGCTGCATTGTATAAGCTATGTTGTATATGTTCAATATCCATGATTCTGTGCTGTTACTCCATACTCCTGATCACTACTCTCTATATCCAGATTAGCACAGCAGCCTGTAGCAGATATGAATGAAAAGCTATACCCCAACATGGTATATGTCACAGTTATCATTTTTGTTCTTGAAAGCTATTTTTGTGTTTGTTCATATCAGTGAAAGATTGGGAGTGCTGGGGAGGAGCTAGACCTCAATCTTCAACTTATTTTCATTTTTTAACAATGTACAGTACTTATTTCCAAACAAAACACATGAATGAGATGCATCAGGACAGAAAAACACTCATAAGATAAGAAAGTCATTCAAAAATTCGATTCGACTGATTCGGCGAATTCGTAGAAAAATTTCGATTCGAGTCGAATATATTCGCTGTGAATTTAACTTAAAAAAGGGTGTTTCTAGGCTTCAGAGAGACTTAATATTAGTGCTGAACACTGTACCTTTAATTTAAATGCCCTTGGAGTCTGCTGGGGAAGAGAAATAATACTGTCAGGCAGTATGACATGCAGATGAGTGCCGTCGATCTTAGAATCACCGCACACTTCACTCATTTGGCCAGTCACGGGGCCAAAACCAGAGTGTGGAGCCACAGTGTGGCGGTGGAGGCAGCAGCAATGGGAGGCCATACAGCACCCTATGACAAAAATGGAAACCACCAGCAGTGTGAGGAGACCTGAAAGTGGCACATGGCAGAGTGTGGCGATAGAGACAGCAGCAATGGGAGGCCGTACAGGGACCCATGACACACTCTGGACCTGGCAGCAGCATGAGGAGGCGGGGCGGTACAGGGGCCCATGGCAGATTACGGGCCTGGCAGCAGCATGAGGAGTCGGTAGGGGGGCCCATGGCAGATTACAGGCCTGGCAGCAGCAATGGGAGGCCGTACAGGGACCCATGACACACATCTGGACCTGGCAGCAGCATGGGGAGGCGGTACAGGGGCCCATGACAGATTACGGGCCTGGCAGCAGCATTTGGAGTCGGTACGGGGGCCCATGACACACTCTGGACCTGGCAGCAGCATGAGGAGGCGGTACAGGGGCGCATGACAGATTACGAGCCTGGCAGCAGCAACTTGGACAGGAGGACGTTCAGTTTCTGCACCGTCTGGTGCGTGCTCGCAAACTGTTGTCTCTTGGAAACGGATTCCAAGAAAGACTGCTGACGGAATCCGTGTGAGAGGAGTAGCAGGAGAAGGAGCATCTGAACGAGCGGAATATGCCAACAAGCGACAACAGGGGCCCATGACAGATTACGGGCCTGGCAGCAGCATGAGGAGTCGGTACGGGGGCCCATGGCAGATTAGGGGCCTGGCAGCAGCTATGGGAGGCCCGTAATCTGCCAGCACCCTATGACAAAAAATGGAACCCACCAGCAGTGTGAGGAGACCTGAAAGTGGCACATGGCAGAGTGTGGCGATGGAGACAGCAGCAATGGGAGGCCGTACAGGGACCCATGACAGACTCTGGACCTGGCAGCAGCATGAGGAGGAGGCGGTATAGGGGCCCATGGCAGATTAGGGGCCTGGCAGCAGCTATGGGAGGCCCGTAATCTGCCAGCACCCTATGACAAAAAATGGAATACACCAGCAGTGTGAGGAGACCTGAAAGTGGCACATGGCAGAGTGTGGCGATGGAGACAGCAGCAATGGGAGGCCGTACAGGGACCATGAGAGACTCTGGACTTGGCAGCAGCATGAGGAGGCGGTATAGGGGCCCATGGCAGATTAGGGGCCTGGCAGCAGCTATGGGAGGCCCGTAATCTGCCAGCACCCTATGACAAAAAATGGAACACACCAGCAGTGTGAGGAGGAGACCTGAAAGTGGCACATGTTTGGGGCATGATTCATGGCGGATTTAGTCAGTTGTGTCAGGAACTGGTGGTTTGAAATCCAGACTAATCCACGCCTGATTCATTTTCACAAACGTCAGTCTCTCCACACTTTGGGTGGACAGTCGTGTCCTCCGCGGAGTTGCAATACCTCCTGCCGCACTAAACACGCGCTCCGATGATGCCACGCTACTGGCCGGGCATGACAGCCTTTCAAGGGCAAATTCAGCTAGTTGGGGCCAAAGGTCAAGTTTCGTTGCCCAGTAGTCAAGGGGATTGTCTACCTCGGTTGGCAGGGTGCTGTCCAAGTAGGCCTAAGCCTGTTGTTTGAGGTCCTGCTGCCCAGGTCCACCTGATGCTGCTGCTGCTGCTGCTGCTGCGGCTGGTTAGTAGTTTCCTCACTGCGCTGGTGAAGAAAGCTACTCATCATCGACTGCAGACTGAGGCAGCCGCTGCTGGTGGAGCTGCCACTGCTCCTACCACCCCACCCCTCCCCTGCTGCCATGGCAGCGGAACGCGAGCGCACAGGGCCCACAGTGTCTGAGGATGGACGTTGGCGCAGACAGGCAGAGACCAGCTGACTACATAGGTGGTTTTTATAGTACGTTATTTTGGCCTCCCTCTCAGCAGGTGTGAAAAAGGCCACCATTTTTGAACGGTAGCGAGGGTCCAACAAGGTGGACAGCCAAAAGTCATCCCTCTGTCTGATGGTTATTATTCGGCTGTCGCTACGCAAGCAACCGAGCATGCTATGGGCCATTTGTGCCAAGGAATGCGAGGGACTCCCTGCCTCCATCTCCACAGCATACTGCCACGGTGCGTGCGGGTCCTCTGGGTCCTCCTCCTCCTCCTCCTCCTCTACCAGATGCTCCTGCTCCTCCACTCCTGTCCGCTGAGTGGAAAAACCACCCATTTCACTCAATAATTCCTGAGCACCAATGTCCTCCTCTACCTCCTCCTCTTCTTCCTGTCCTGCCCCCACAGGGGTCATGTGGCGTTGAGATCTGTGCGCCACGTCTACCGCACCCTGACCAGCCATTGTTAACAGCATTTGTTCCAGGACGTGCAACAGAGGAATGACGTCGTTCATCCCATAGTCCTGCCGACTCACGAATAGCGTGGCCTCCTCAAAGGGCCTGAGCAAGCGCAGGTGTCACGCATGAGCTGCCAATGGCTGACATCTAAGTTACACAGGGAGTACCTTTATCCGCTTTTAACATCAGGAAATCTGTGATGGCCTTTTGCTGTTCGTAAAGGCGGTCTAAACATATGTAGGGTTGAATTCCACCTTGTTGCAACGTCACAGCATGAGGAGTCGGTATAGGGGGCCCATGGCAGATTAGGGGCCTGGCAGCAGCTATGGGAGGCCCGTAATCTGCCAGCACCCTATGTCAAAAAATTCAACACCAGCAGTGTGAGGAGACCTGAAAGTGGCACATGGCAGAGTGTGGCGATGGAGACAGCAGCAATGGGAGGCCGTACAGGGACCCATGACAGACTCTGGACCTGGCAGCAGCAGCATGAGGAGGCGGTATATAGGGGCCTATGGCAGATTAGGGGCCTGGCAGCAGCTATGGGAGGCCCGTAATCTGCCAGCACCCTATGTCAAAAAATTCTACACACCAGCAGTGTGAGGAGACCTGAAAGTGGCACATGGCAGAGTGTGGCGATGGAGACTCTGGGAGGCCGTACAGGGACCCATGAGAGACTCTGGACTGGCAGCAGCATGAGGAGGCGGTATATAGGGGCCTATGGCAGATTAGGGGCCTGGCAGCAGCTATAGGGGAGGCCGTAATCTGCCAGCACCCTATGTCAAAAAATTCAACACACCAGCAGTGTGAGGAGACCTGAAAGTGGCACATGGCAGAGTGTGGCGATGGAGACAGCAGCAATGGGAGGCCGTACAGGGACCCATGACAGACTCTGGACCTGGCAGCAGCATGAGGAGGCGGTATATATAGGGGCCTATGGCAGATTAGGGGCCTGGCAGCAGCTATGGGAGGCCCTAATCTGCCAGCACCCTATGTCAAAAAATTCTAACACACACCAGCAGTGTGAGGAGACCTGAAAGTGGCACATGGCAGAGTGTGGCGATGGAGACAGCAGCAATGGGAGGCCGTACAGGGACCCATGACAGACTATGGCACCTTAGGGGCAGGCAGAGGAGCAGCGGTATATAGGGGCCTATGGCAGATTAGGGGCCTCTGCAGCAGCACCCTATGTCCCGTAATCTGCCAGCACCCTATGTCAAAAAATTCTACACACCAGCAGTGTGTGAGGAGACCTGAAAGTGGCACATGGCAGAGTGTGGCGATGGAGACAGCAGCAATGGGAGGCCGTACAGGGACCCATGACAGACTCTGGACCTGGCAGCAGCATGGAGGCGGTATATATAGGGGCCTATGGCAGATTAGGGGCCTGGCAGCAGCTATGGGAGGCCCGTAATCTGCCAGCACCCTATGTCAAAAAAATTCTAACACACCAGCAGTGTGTGAGGAGACCTGAAAGTGGCACATGGCAGAGTGTGGCGATGGAGACAGCAGCAATGGGAGGCCGTACAGGGACCCATGAGAGACTCTGGACCTGGCAGCAGCATGAGGAGGCGGTATATAGGGGCCCATGGCAGATTAGGGGCCTGGCAGCAGCTATGGGGGCCGTAATCTGCCAGCACCCTATGTCAAAAAATTCTACACACCAGCAGTGTGTGAGGAGACCTGAAAGTGGCACATGGCAGAGTGTGGCGATGGAGACAGCAGCAATGGGAGGCCGTACAGGGACCCATGACAGACTCTGGACTGGCAGCAGCATGAGGAGGCGGTATATAGGGGCCCATGGCAGATTAGGGGCCTGGGCAGCAGCTATGGGAGGCCCGTAATCTGCCAGCACCCTATGTCAAAAAAATTCTACACACCAGCAGTGTGTGAGGAGACCTGAAAGTGGCACATGGCAGAGTGTGGCGATGGAGACAGCAGCAATGGGGGAGGCCGTACAGGGACCCATGACAGACTCTGGACCTGGCAGCAGCATGAGGGAGGCGGTATATAGGGGCCTATGGCAGATTAGGGGCCTGGCAGCAGCTATGGGAGGCCCATAATCTGCCAGCACCCTATGTCAAAAAATTCTACACACCAGCAGTGTGTGAGGAGACCTGAAAGTGGCACATGGCAGAGTGTGGCGATGGAGACAGCAGCAATGGGAGGCCGTACAGGGACCCATGAGAGACTCTGGACCTGGCAGCAGCATGAGGAGGAGGCGGTATATAGGGGCCTATGGCAGATTAGGGGCCTGGCAGCAGCTATGGGAGGCCCGTAATCTGCCAGCACCCTATGTCAAAAAATTCTCTACACACCAGCAGTGTGTGAGGAGACCTGAAAGTGGCACATGGCAGAGTGTGGCGATGGAGACAGCAGCAATGGGAGGCCGTACAGGGACCATGAGACTCTGGACCTGGCAGCAGCATGAGGAGGAGGCGGTATATAGGGGCCTATGGCAGATTAGGGGCCTGGCAGCAGCTATGGGAGGCCCATAATCTGCCAGCACCCTATGTCAAAAAATTCAACACACCAGCAGTGTGAGGAGACCTGAAAGTGGCACATGGCAGAGTGTGGCGATGGAGACAGCAGCAATGGGAGGCCGTACAGGGGGACCCATGACAGACTCTGGACTGGCTGGCAGCAGCATGAGGAGGCGGTATATAGGGGCCCATATGGGCAGATTAGGGGCCTGGCAGCAGCTATGGGAGGCCCGTAATCTGCCAGCACCCTATGTCAAAAAATTCTACACACCAGCAGTGTGAGGAGACCTGAAAGTGGCACATGGCAGAGTGTGGCAGATGGGAGACAGCAGCAATGGGAGGCCGTACAGGGACCCATGAGAGACTCTGGACCTGGCAGCAGCATGATGAGGAGGCGGTATATAGGGGCCTATGGCAGATTAGGGGCCTGGCAGCAGCTATGGGAGGCCCGTAATCTGCCAGCACCCTATGTCAAAAAATTCTACACACCAGCAGTGTGTGAGGAGACCTGAAAGTGGCACATGGCAGAGTGTGGCGATGGAGACAGCAGCAATGGGAGGCCGTACAGGGACCCATGAGAGACTCTGGACCTGGCAGCAGCATGAGGAGGGCGGTATATAGGGGCCTATGGCAGATTAGGGGCCTGGCAGCAGCTATGGGAGGCCCGTAATCTGCCAGCACCCTATGTCAAAAAATTCTACACACCAGCAGTGTGTGAGGAGACCTGAAAGTGGCACATGGCAGAGTGTGGCGATGGAGACAGCAGCAATGGGAGGCCGTACAGGGACCCATGACAGACTCTGGACTGGCTGGCAGCAGCATGAGGAGGCGGTATATAGGGGGCCTATGGCAGATTAGGGGCCTGGCAGCAGCTATGGGAGGCCCGTAATCTGCCAGCACCCTATGTCAAAAAATTCAACACACACAGCAGTGTGTGAGGAGACCTGAAAGTGGCACATGGCAGAGTGTGGCGATGGAGACAGCAGCAGCAATGGGAGGCCGTACAGGGACCCATGAGACTCTGGACCTGGGCAGCAGCATGAGGAGGCGGTATAGGGGGCCTATGGCAGATTAGGGGCCTGGCAGCAGCTATGGGAGGCCCGTAATCTGCCAGCACCCTATGTCAAAAAATTCAACACACCAGCAGTGTGTGAGGAGACCTGAAAGTGGCACATGGCAGAGTGTGGCGATGGAGGACAGCAGCAATGGGAGGCCGTACAGGGACCCATGACAGACTCTGGACCTGGCAGCAGCATGAGGAGGCGGTATATATAGGGGCCTATGGCAGATTAGGGGCCTGGCAGCAGCATGGGAGGCCCGTAATCTGCCAGCACCCTATGTCAAAAAATTCTAACACACCAGCAGTGTGTGAGGAGACCTGAAAGTGGCACATGGCAGAGTGTGGCGATGGAGACAGCAGCAATGGGAGGCCGTACAGGGACCCATGACAGACTCTGGACTGGCAGCAGCAGCATGAGGAGGCGGTATATAGGGGCCTATGGCAGATTAGGGGCCTGGCAGCAGCTATGGGAGGCCCGTAATCTGCCAGCACCCTATGTCAAAAAATTCAACACACCAGCAGTGTGTGAGGAGACCTGAAAGTGGCACATGGCAGAGTGTGGCGATGGAGACAGCAGCAATGGGAGGTCTCCCATTGTCCCAACATGGCCCAAATAGTCCCAACATGGGCCCCCTGGCCACGCTTGACTTTCTGGCCATAGTCGACATACGGCTACGTTTACTTCCTCGGGCGGCTTGACGAAAAATTGCCACACCGCCGAGTAGGAAAAACTTTGCCCCCATACTCCTCACTGGCTGACTGCTGCTTCCTCCGTGCACACCGGCACCACTACTGGCCGTGGTGGTAGGCTGCAGTGGAGCTGGTGCTTCTACTCCGTGGCCGTTTGGCTCCACTGACACTGCTTCCACTGACACTGCGACCCTGCTGCTGCTGTCTCTGGGCAACCCACCGACTGTTTTGCTCACTGCCAAGCTGCCACCCTCTTCTCCTGATGATGCGGAAGAAATTGCCTGATGACGACGAGGCTGCCAAGTGCGATCAACCTCCTCATCATCAAGTAGGGTCTCCGCCTCACTACTAGCCCCCTCGGCTGCGTCTGGGTCAGGAGACAGACCTGTCTCTAGACCGGCTACCGGGCCACTCTCCTCGCCACTACTTCTTCGCCTGGCTGCTGAAAAGGCGGATGTCTCCCCCCGTTCCTGACCGCCCTCTGTTAGCTCTTCCTCACTGTACAGTGGGGCTGAGCCCACAGCATGCGATACTTCGCTTGGTGAGGGAACACAAAGGACAGGGGCAGGTAGAGGACACGTGATTTCAGTGGGCTTGGTCCCGGGCCATGCCAACTAACGGTTGTGTCTGACGTACCCACCGACCGTTGGCTGTAGGTGTCAGAGGTGACCTGGGAAGAGGAAGACGACCGAGCCAACCAATCGACGACGGCAGGGTTGTCGGTGGAGACACGACCGCTGGATGACACCGGGAGCACTGGCCTCTGGCTGCGAATAGTGCTGCCTCGACCCCTTCCTCTGCTGCCACGTCTGCTCGCTCCTAAAACATTGCCTCCTCTGCCACTCCTCTGCATGTTGTCTGACATACTCTTTAATTAAACGATTATGTGTCCCTGAGTAACAATTCTGTGTCCCTGAGTAACAATTCTGTGTCTGTGCGAGTAACAATTCTGTGGCCCTAAGTAAACAGTTCTGTGGCCCTCAGTAAACAATTCTGTGGCCCTGATTAACAATTTCTGTGGCCCGTTTCTGTGGCCCTAACAGTAACAGTTCTGTGGCCCTCAGTAACAATTCTGTGTCTGTGCGAGTAACAATTCTGTGTCTGTGCGAGTAACAATTCTGTGGCCCTAAGTAAAGTTTCTGTGGCCCTAAGTAACAATTCTCTGGCACTCAGTAACAATTCTGTCTGTCCCTGAGTAACAATTCTCTGGCACTCAGTAACAATTCTGTCTGTCCCTGAGTAAAAATTCTGTGGCCCTAAGTAAAGTTTCTGGGGCCCTGAGTAACAATTTCTGGCACTCCGTAACAATTCTGTCTGTCCCTGAGTAACAATTCTCTGGCACTCAGTAACAATTCTGTCTGTCCCTGAGTAAAAATTCTCTGGCCCTAAGTAAAGTTTCTGTGGCCCTGAGTAACAAACAATTCTGTCTGGCACTCCGTAACAATTCTGTGTCTGTCCCTGAGTAACAATTCTCTGGCACTCAGTAACAATTCTGTCTGTCCCTGAGTAAAAATTCTGTGGCCCTAATTAAAGTTTCTGTGGTCTGTGGCTAAGTAACAATTCTCTGGCACTCCGTAACAATTCTGTCTGTCCCTGAGTAACAATTCTCTGGCACTCAGTAACAATTCTGTCTGTCCCTGAGTAAAAATTCTGTGGCCCTGAGTAAAGTTTCTGTGGCCCTAATAAAGTTTCTGTGGTAAACAATTCTCTGGCACTCAGTAACAATTCTGTCTGTCCCTGAGTAACAATTCTCTGGCACTCAGTAGTACAATTCTGTCTGTCCCTGAGTAAAAATTCTGTGGCCCTAAGTAACAATTTCTGTGGCCCTAAGTAACAATTCTCTGTCCCTGCACTCACTCAGTAACAATTCTGTCTGTCCCTGAGTAACAATTCTCTGGCACTAAGTAACAATTCTGTCTGTCCCTGAGTAACAATTCTCTGGCACTCAGTAACAATTCTGTCTGTCCCTGAGTAAAAATTCTGTGGCCCTAAGTAAAGTTTCTGTGGCCCTGAGTAACAATTCTCTGGCACTCCGTAACAATTCTGTCTGTCCCTGAGTAACAATTCTCTGGCACTCAGTAACAATTCTGTCTGTCCTGAGTAAAAATTCTGTGGCCCTAAGTAACAATTCTGTGGCCCTAAGTAACAATTCTGTGGCCCTCATTAACAATTCTGTCTGTCCTGAGTAACAATTCTGTGGCACTCAGTAACAATTCTGTCTGTCCCTGAGTAACAATTCTCTGGCACTCAGTAACAATTCTGTCTGTCCCTGAGTAAAAATTCTGGCCCTAATAAAGTTTCTGTGGCCTAAGTAAAAGTTTTCTGTGGCCTCAG